AGTAGCGATGCCCTTTGCTCCTAGTAGCTTCTTGTTCCTACCCCCCCGCCTTTTTAATGCTACTCTTTGGGGCTGCGACAAAGAAACAAGGAGCCTGCCAGGAGTTCGACGGTGGCGGCATCTTGCCTGATATCAAAGTCCTCCTTGACAAGAGGATCTGTGGTCTCTGTGTCTCTGCATTTTTGACACCTTACCAATCAAGAGTCTTTTCTGGAACTGCTAGCTGTTCCGTCAGCCTCCTCCTCATCATCCTCTTTTGCTTCGACCCATTCTCCAGCAATCAGCTCAAAGACCTTTTCGTCATCTAGCTCACCCTCCTTGGTTCAAACTGAAGCAGGTCACGCCGAACAGCCAAAAAATGCTAAAGGCCTAGACTCCAAGTCCAAGTCAATGTATTTTTGCTCGTGCTAACCCCTGCTGTCGCTCCATCTCGTTTGCATCTATGGCTCCAAGTTTTGGGCTGCATCAACAAACTTCTGTCCACCCATCAAGCGCAAAAACTTCAGCCGCTCCTGGTTTCAGTAAAAGCTCGTTCAAAAAGGACAAAAATGAAGGCCCAGGCCTTGGTCGAGTGAAAATGGCTACTCTCCCAGCCATTCGCAGTTAACCTGGCAGTCTATTGCACGCAATTGGTAGCAGGAAGCTCACATTGCGGCCTCCCATCACCGGCACCGAACCCTTCTGAAGCTCCAGTGCTCCACAGAGCCTTGTTCGAAGTTCTCAAAGTGGTTCCAACATCAATTGCTCAGCAATTCCTCCTTAGCTTCTTGTTACTAGTAGCGATGCCAGGAGCCCCTAGTAGCGTCCTTGCTCCTAGTAGTAAGGCCAGGATCAAACGAAGACTCCATGGCGACGCCTGGCCTTCCGCTTCTCCCTCTCAGCCAGCCTGTCTCTTTCGGCTGCTTGCCGTTGCATCTCTCCTTCCAAGCGCTGCCTGGACCCATTTCTCAGGGTGAGAACTGAAAAAACAAAAGGCAAACAAACCGTAAGGAACAAGGTCAAAGGTTGGTGCCAAAAGAGCAAAAGGTTCTTGTCAAGTGGCTGCTCTCCCTGCACTAGGCTTTGCTGCAGCCGCTGTTGATTCCGTTCGACCCAATCTTGAAGTTGCTGCTTCTGCGCAGACAATGCTATCGCATCATTCCCCTGTGCTTCACTCGGCTCCTCTGGAAAAGAAACAAAGAAGACTGCATTGAAACAACCTGTGCGTCACAAAAATCATGGTGCACTGGCCAGTCCTCGGGGGGTGGCGGAGGGCATGCCGGTGGGTCTGGCTGGGTAATTGGCTCACTTTGGCGGCCTTGGCAACGCAGAATCCCTAGTTGCGACATGCATCATGGTGAATGCTGACTTTGTATGCAGTGCTTGGAGCTCTATGGCCCAAGCATTCAGCTGCTGCTTGGCGCAAGCGTAATAGAATACTATGCTTGACCTGCGCGGGTTGACTGAGATTGACAAGTTGACAGCAATGTGGGGGTAAACGAAAGCTAGGCAAATAGGTTGCAAAGTGTATCACTGTATCACTGTATCACCGTGTAATTCGTGTTCAAAGAAGCAACGATGAGTGACCGCAACGGCCAGCTTATTGCTGCCCGAGAAACCAACCCCTTTCGGCCACACCCAAAAACACAAACACCGGAAGCAAACGACTGGAAATACCCCTTGATTCCAGCAAGCTGAGCCAAGTCCAAAATACACTGGTGTCTGCCTGCCGAGAGTTGATTCTTACAGTTTCTTCTTGTCAGGCCAGAGCTGAACGCTCAGAAACTTCATGTCTTGCCTTGACCATCCTGGCAGCACGAGCTGCCGGTGACAGATTTCTCAAAGCTGCATCTGCAAGATCCTCCAAGTGCGAAACACGAGAGGCTCAAAGGTTCAGTGCATTGATTGGTGCTCCTGCGCCCGGCGTTCGAACTCATCAGCGACGGCATCTTCACAAAGTGCCTTGCAGATTTTAATTTTGGCAACGCAGGCATGGCATAAAATGTAAAGCTAAAGCAGTTGAGATCGCTGGAATCATCTCAGCAATTCACTCTAAGCGGTTCTCCCTATACAGCTCCATGTAGATGTGTGGCAAAATTGCTAGGAGCAAAGAAGCTACTAGGAGCAAAGGGCATCGCTACTAGGAGCAAGGACGCTACTAGGGGCTCCTGGCATCGCTACTAGGAGCAAGAAGCTACTCGTAACAAGGCTTTTTGTACTGCACAATGAACCTTCATATTCGCACATGTTTTCGGACGTCAAACTGGCAATACCCGCCTCTTTGGGCACCGTGTGCAGAGTATGCAGAGCCGTCTGGGGCTTTTGTGGTATCACAATGGCTGGAGCCTGATAACGCCCCAAACGCGTTTCAGTAGTAATGCCAGGAGCTACTAATAGCTTCTTGCTCCTAGTAGCGATGCCCTCTGTTACTAGTAGCTTCTTGTTCCTAGTAGTATGGCCAGGAGCTACTAGTAGCGTCCTTTTTCCATACAACGTGGTCAGCTGACCTCCTCGTCAGATGATAAGCAAACGGCATCTGCATTGCACTTGGTGTGTTTTACCTGCGGCACTGATCCGCTCGGCCATGCACAATGTTTTCTGTGGCTCGGAGCGCTTCACAAACACGCCTTTCTCTCAAGAAATCTCAAACACAATGATGTCTCCCTCACTCTCTCACTCTCTCACACCTTGTCGGACTTGTCCTCATCATCCAGGTCAATGCAACTCACTATCACCGGCTGTGGTGCCTCAGTCTGTCAAACTTTGGTGCCAACCAAGATCCCGAAGGCCGAGGGAGCTCTGCTTATGTGCCGACATGTTGCGGTCTGCACAACGCGTTTTCGCTTTTTTGGCGGCGCCGGCGCTTCCTCCCAAGTCTTTTAAAGAGTTTTGGACTGCGACATGTGTAGATCACCTCAGAAGACCCTTCACTTTGCAAGCCGCATTAGCGTGCATGGACCATGGAGCATACGAACATCATTTGCAGTCATGCAAAGGTCCTCTTCCGAATCGATGCATATAGCCTGCATTCGAAGTGAGTGCGTACCATGCCCGCGTGCCAAACTGCACTAGAGTTCATTCATAGTACTATCCACGAATCCACAATGTGATCTGGCCTGTGACGCATCAGGCATAAACAGCTCCTGATCATCACGTTGACGTGATTTTGGAAAATGTCATGCAATGCTCTGGTCCACAAGAATCCATGAACCTGCATGCTTGTATATCATAGCAGCTGCATTAAACCTCATCACTCTCTCCAAAAGATCGTGGGAACAGTGCAGTGTGAACGTCTCAGGCAGGACCCTAATTCAGCGCTCCTGACAAAGTGTCGATCCGTCAAGCGGCCGGAAACATCTTGGCTTTGCTCACGAGACTAAGGCTAATAGCTATGGCCTCCAACCCAATAATGGCAATGGCCTGCCATGCCTAATAGCGATGGTCTCCAACTTAGAAGCGATGGCCTCCAACTTAACGTGATGCTGTCTCAAATGTTAATCTCAATGGGTTGCTTGCAATGTTGCTTGCTTTGTGTCAAAGGACGGGTTCAGGTGCTGAACTGAGGGCTTCTCCCACACTTGCACCCAATATTCAATACTACTGCAAGACTATTCTGCATCAAAGCCAAATATACGGGCATTGAGTATGTCAGTTTCAGCAAGCAAGTTCAGGTAGTTATATAGGCAATTTGGACCCATCTGAACAGAAACTGAGTGGCGGCTTCAACCATGTATCCCATCAGCAACCATCTCTGAGGAGCTTTTGTTGCTCTTGGCAAGTGCATTATCGCGAGCCACCAACGCTTCGGTGTCTCGATGAGGTGGATGAACCTTCTCTGTCTATTGTACATTCAAACTGTTTGTCACAAGCCAATCACAGCACCTCCGCCGCAGCTGGAGGGCTAAAAAATAACAGGTGTTGGCTTGGGGCCGAACCCTTTCCGAGGTGCACCTATGATGTGCCGAGCTTTCTTGTCCAATGACCGCAATGACAGGCAAACCAGGATACTTAACCAGTACACTGCATGCTCTTGCATGAAATCGTGAACGTCTGCACAAGAGTAGAGCCGATAGTATGAATTCTGATAGCACATATGTTTGCGAGAGCTCCTAAGTCTCACAAGTCACAGCTTCTAAGGCACAGCCTCCATGAACCTAGATGCAGCAAAGATGGCATTCTACTGAATGAGGCATGCCGGCGGCATGCCACTCATTTGAGGCTTTCTCAGGAATCACCTCATTCCCGGGAAAAAGCTACTAGGAACAGGTGCCTTACTAGTAGTAACAAGTGCCTTACTAGTAGTAACAAGAAGCAATTAGAATTAAATAGCACAATCCTTACTCCTGTGATTCCGACAAGCATCACGGATTGCGGAAGCGGCTTATTTCTGCAAGGAATAGAACACCTCAGAGTCTGAGGAAGTTCATGGAATCTGAAGTTTGTCATCGTTCAGAGGTTCCAAACTAACACCATTGGCAGTCTGTCCACCATGCACTAAGAGGATGGCAACAGCAAGCAGCAGGAACACCACCAGGATATTGAATGCCTTGTCACACTCCACGTCGCAAGAAGATTCAGCAGAAATCACACAAGCCAGCTCTGTCAGTGCTCGAGCCAGACCAGACTGCTGGGGAGCCCACGAATAGACGGGATATCGCTGACCCAAACGGGAGTAGTGACCCCATGTCAATGTAGGCAGCAACCGCCTGAAATATTGTTGCTCCCTCGACAAAAACAGACAGAGGGATTTACAGTAGACGGAATCAGTATCTGACAGCAATGGGCTCTGTGAATGTCACAAAGGCACCATGGATGGTCTGCCTGTGCAAAGGTGGCTGGTATGGATGCTTGCGGCTGAAGGATTGATGCAAATCGTGCTCAAGCGCTTGTGCTTGTGTCTAGTGGTTCCACACAGTGCCTGGCTGATGCAGGAATCAAAAACACACTCAGCAGCAGCACCACAACCTCACATGAAGGGCTCGTATCTGTGACTTCGTGTAGTGTTTCTTTCTTTGGAGGTACAATCCAGCTGCAACAATACGTGCCCCTGTCATTGTACGATCAGTCTGCCTGTATGCATAAACTCTTCGGTTCAGCAACATACAACATGGAAAAGAATAGTCTGTGCAGCGCACCGCCAGCTCAATCCGCAGCCGAAGAACCTGACCTGGCCAACAAATCTAGTCTTCATGAATTCATGAATCAAGAGGTAGTCACATCTGAAAGGTCCGAAGAGGCTGAGGGCCTGGGCTTTCCTCCTGGCGGAAGCCTCTTTGCTCGTGAGAGTCAAAGTACTGCACCTGTTGCAGCGCGTTGCAGCGCGGCTCTGATTGTCGGGACCCTCCGTCAACCTCTCGTCTCGGGTGCCAGGCACAGCGCTGGAGTTGTGCTCCTGACTTCTGGGCCTCAAAGGTCGCAAGAATAGAGCCCCTAGTAGCGTCCTTGCTCCTAGTAGCCATGCCCTTTGTTAC